TGGCCAATCGTTCCTTCCTACTTTGCCAAAAGGTGGCTCAAAAATGTCTTCCCTAGTTTGCCTATCCTAACGATATCCCTTCCCGCCTTTACACTTCCCTCTCCTCTTCGTACCACGGACATTCCGCGACTACATGAACGCGGTCTTCGCCTTCCAAGCCGCAATCACATTTGAACTTGTCGTCTTCGTCGTCTACCGTCCTATGTCTTCGTCGACGTTCGCGAAGGCCTATGTCCCCGGTCCTGAATTTGACCTTAAGCTTTGTCCCTGCATCCATTGGTCCATTTAGGTAGTCCTTGAACCCTATTCCTTCTTTCAACATTCCGTACACTTCTAGACCCTCCTTATCCTCGGTTTCTTTCCCTAGATTCTGTTCTTCTCTCTCGGCACAAGCAACAGATATCTTCTCCTTGAACCCCTGTAGACCCTCCGTTTCCAGCGTTTCATCTTCGTCGATGTCTAACCCCTTCCATACGTCCTCTACAACCTTGACCCATTCTGTGGGTTGTCTACCCCTCTTTTTGTTTGCCCACTTCGCCTCCCATACTATTCTCGGCACCCTCTCCGCTCTCATCCCGCACATGCGATACTGCCATGTCAGCTTCCTTACGTCTCTTCCCGACCGTAGGGATTGGATCCCCAATTCTGCCCTGACGGCTGCCTTACTTGTGCGCTTGGAGCATCCTACGATGATTGTCGCTGCTTTCATCTGCGCCGCCTCGAGTTCTTTCACTACCTTCTTATTTCCTTCCCATACTTCACCGGCGTACTCTAGCGGCGGTACGATTACGCTCTTCGAAACCGTCTATTTGATGCGTGTATCGAGGTGCCGGTTTGCGAGTATTGGGTGCAGCTTCCCTGCTCGTGCTTTGCCCTTTTCCGCTACCTTGAACATGTGTGCATTCCACGAGCAGTCTTTTGCGATCTCTACTCCGACGTATGTGTACTGGTCCACTACTGCAATCTCCTCGATCCCCCACTTCCATCTATGTTCTACTGGTTCCTCCCTGTCCTCGTTGCATACCATGACGGCACTCTTCTTACCGTTGGCGGACAATTTTCACTTATCAGTAAACTTCTTCGCCGCGTCAATTTGCAGTTGCAGTTCCTACATGTTGACCCGACATACCAACAAAATCATCGGCAAACAGCATTCCTGACACCGAAGTTTCCGTGTCCCCTACTCTTACTCCCTTCCGGACTGCCTCTACGACTTCGAACAAATCGTTGATGAACACCTGGAACAATGTTGGGGACAGCGTGCAACCTTGTGGGACCCCTTGCTCAATGTCGAAGAATTTAGACAGTTCTCCGTCTAGCATGACCGCGCTTTTCGTACACTCTGTCATCTTCTTCAGCACTCTCCACATTTTCCCCTTGATCCCGTACTTGGACAATTGTTTCCACAGCCCATTTCTCCATACGGTGTCGTATGCCTTTTTCACGTCCAGGAAGAAGCAGTACGTCCGCTTTCCCGCCCTCTTTCTACCTTGGATGATTCTCCCTACCGTGAATGCGTGGTCTATGCACCCCCTCTTCTGTCGGAAACCTGCCTGGCCCTCACTAATGCTATGTTCCTCCTCCAATACTCCCACTATCCTATCGTTCAGCAGCTTACGAAACACTTTTCCTACTGTGTTCAACAGTGTGATCCCCCTGTAGTTTCCTGGGTCAGCCTTGTCTCCTTTTTTAAACAAGTTCACAACCACACCTTCCCCCCATCTACTTGGCGCATACTCGTTTTTCCACACCAAGTTGTACAGCAGTACCATCAGCTGGATCATCCCCTTCCCCCCAAACTTCATTAACTCGTTGACTATCCCATCCGCCCCTGCTGCTTTGTGGCACTGCAGCTTGTTCACACACGCCTCAACCTCGTCCTCAGTGAACTCCTTTTCTAGTTCTACGTTCCCAACGTCTGCCTTCGATGTCTCTTGTTCTTTCTGGGCCCATGCGTCCACCTCCTCCTTAAACACTTGGTCAAAAGCTTCATTCTCCGAAGGCACTCCAAGTCTCTTGTAGTGTCCCGCTAGAACGTCCCTTTTTCCCTTCCCACTGCTGCCTAGTCCACCGTTCACACCTCGCAAAGTTGCTACCCCTGTATCCCCCCCTTGCGCGCCTGGGGGGGGGGGGGGTGGCATGAAGTCCCCCAATTGTCAACCATTCAAACAAACCCTTGCTATAAATTG